TTTTAATCAAATACGTTGATCCTTTTATCGATGGCAAAGAATCTTACAAAGTTTGTTTTTTCCTAAGTGAAATATTGATCAAAATATGCTTTGAGCTATTAATATTGGCTGCAATAAGGATATACGGCCGGATCGGAATTATAAAAAAATGATGTACTTTTATAACAATTTGAAATGATAAATTTATAAAGAATTCCTTTTTCAAAAGTAGCTGTTTGAACATACAGTGTATCAGACACTGCCTCCGAACCAAGACAACATCAAATTGTCTGATTGAAGTCAATAGTAATTAATAGGTTAAAGTAATTTGTGTTAATAATTCCATCATAAAAAAAAAAACTTTGAAGGTCCTCTCTATCATCCATAATAAAACCAGTACATTATATTAAAATCGAGTCAACATATTAGACTTGTTTTCGTACATATATTTATGGGCTATCTTGTATTGTGTTGTATACGATTAACTACATACTTGATTACCTTCTTTTCTTTCGGCAAACTCTCGGAATCATGTGCATGGGTAAATAAATAAAACTTCATGGGAGTCAGCTGACGTATGCACATAGCAGTTCTTTAAAGTATAGTATTATTCTATTCTATTGGTGTAGTTGTTTCTTTCTTTCTTTCCTTGATAATCTATTGAGTATATTTTTTTTCGTTGACTCACTTCCCCCTTTCTTTTTTTTTCCTTCGTTTTCTATGTCGTTATTTCTTCATATGAAAAGTAACTAATGATAGAATTATGCTCAAAATATACGCAAAAGCTAATGTCGAACATCACCAGTAACACCACTGTATCTGATCGTGTTTTAAAAGATGGATTTATATTGACCTTATACTCATTAACATTCGTTATTGGTGTACTTGGAAATTTATTAGCGTTCAAATTAGTTTTCTTACAAACAAAGAAAGTGGCTAGTCGATCAATAAGTACTACGAATATTTACCTGGCTAATTTAGCATTATCAGATCTGTTATCAGCAACAACTATACCGCTTCAATTTTTATTTTGTTCGCATTATTTACTCGAACAGTTTATAATTGGACCACATCTATGTGTAATATTCAAATCCATACAAGTTCTTACATATAACGTATCAATATTAACAATGGTTGTCATTGCAATAGATCGTTATTATTTGATACATTATCCTCTTGAATCATCGAATAAACGTCTAAAACCAAAGTATTCTCTTTCAGCCGTATGGTTGTTATCAATACTCTTTGCCGGTACATGTCTTATATCAATGAAAGTTTCAGAATATTTTCTATCGTCTCGCCAACTAATTGGATGTCGAATTTTATTTGCCAATGTAATTCCTATATCCAGTCTTTTGTTTCGTAAAATACGAGTTACCATACTGAGTGTTTGTTTCTATTACATTCCATTAATAATAACAGCCTCGTTGTATACCTTATGTTTGTGTACTATTTCGAGAAGATCAGCTGTCGGAGAATCGAATCATGCATCATGTAATGAGTCGAAACAACGAACTATGAAAATTTTAATTATCATTTTGTTGGTGTTTGCATTATCTTGGCTACCAATTCACACAATGAATTTATATGATTTTTATTCTTCTATTCAAAGATCAATATTATATCAACCAAATAATAAAAAATGTAATGCATCTACAATCTATTCCATTTTTTATTGGATTGCTATCAACAGTTGTTGTTATAACCCTTTTATATATAGTTGGTTTAACAAGAATTTTAGACGATCTCTTGGAATATTTTGCTGTCAGAAAGATCAGCAGAGACCAAGAAACGATTCAAATGTTAGTAAAATATCTAACATATTCTATTTAATGATTTTGTAAAAGTGTATTTTGAATAAATGCGACTAACTTCAATCGGGTCTTTTTTTAACCAAGAACGTCACTCAACATCATCAAAAACAAGTAAAAAAAACAACTTTGCATCTCGTTATACTCTGGCATTATGCAAACGATATGACATTTTTTTCCTAGATAATTAACACATGATTCATCTTAATCAATGCTCTCTCTCTCTCTTCGACACCCATAAAAGAGTCTTTGAAATCTGTATTCTACGCAGAGATAGTGTTTCACAGTTATTTTACGCATTTATTTCATGCTATATAATTTTTCATTGAGTCATCAAAAGTTAATGAGCTAGATTTTTATCTCTTCTCTTTTATTATTTTTGTTGGTTGATGCTTGACAGAAATAATTATATTCTCCTTGGTAATATAAATAATTCATCTATGCAAATAAGTGAAAGAAGATATACGATGTTTGTCATGTATTATCACTGTTGAAATAAAATAGACAAAATTAATTCTATTTCGCTCGTCTATTCATTTAGTAGATTAGATTCTTCCTAGCTGTTCTATATTCATATATAGAAAATGGTATTGACACAATTGAATATCTGAAACAAATTGACATCGCAATAGCATTTTGTCTTTTTTTTTTGAATTCAGTAGAAGCCAACGAAGTATTCGACTGAACTTATTAAGAATGATTTTTTCAAACGAATCTTTTAATGCAATTCATTTTTTATTTCGAATCCTGTGTAGTGCGATATCACATGTACAGTAGCGCTGAAAAGCATCATACAAACAGCTGATGGTTTTTTTTCCTCATATCTTTCAAGAAATTCAACGTATTGAGCTGTAGATATTGGCAAAACATAGTTTATGTTTCAAAGTTTATTTGCACCAAATATCATTTCTTTTCATCGTACATTCACTCTACTAGATAAAACTAGCTAGAGCTCTTATAAAAATGCGTTTTCATCTGTTCAGTCGTCAAACCTTACGAGTTTCTTAAGTATCCTCGAATGATCTAGTTTTCGACGTATTCTCAGTAGAGATATGCATATATCATTATTTTTAATTTTCGAGCCCTTAACTATAATAAGAATTTTAATATTTTCACTAAATAAATTTCGATGGAGTCTTAAATTCTTGCCTTAGGATAGGTATTCATTGGTATCTAAAGTCTTAAAATTTCGATGATAAATCGATGCTTACTGTGAAAAATACGGATCTGTTTTTTTTTTGTTAAACTTATTAACAATCCGATGATAAGATGCAAGTTTAGAATGGACTAGAAGCATCAATTTTTTTATACACCGTACAACCGTTCATAGGTCATATCGTGATTACTATTTCAATAGGTATCATTTTCACTAATTACAAATATTTGCTTGTATGTTCTGCATATGAACTTTATTCTACGTTTTTCGATGACTTACCCACGATACATTCACTGGTGCAACTTCTTTAAACTATTAGATGCTTCATTTGTTTTCATGAATGCATGAGTATATGAAAAGTAATGTCTAATCCGATTCATTCATCAAACAGTGGATAGATACTCCAAAATAAGAATCTAACCAATCATTTCACTCTAGTGCACGCATGCATGTTATATTGATATATTCAACCGACATAGCATAAAACATAAATATTTCTTCAAGTAAACATCGGTTCGTCTTTAAAACTGAATACCTATTGTACGGCGCTAATTAAAACTTGTTTGAAACTTATTCAGTGAAAATATCCAATATATTAGTATAGCTATGAGCTTGAATATAAGGTATAGTGAGATACGCATATCTCTACTGAGAATGCGGTAGAAAATCAGATTACTCTAGGATATTTAAGAAATTAGTAAGATTTGATGATTTAACAGGTGGAAAAGCTCCCTCGTTAACTACTCTAACAATAACTTAAAATGGACTATGTCTTTCTATTGAACTTCCGAAACATCATACATTTTAAATATGACATAATTCATTTTTTATTCTTCGTCACTGTACTCAGTTTTAGAATAACCAAACGTAATTGTTGATAAGTCATAGCTGCGATCTAATGGAATTGGTATGCGTGCAAATTAGTACTATTTAATATGCTTGTGAATTACAATGAAGCCGTAAATAATAATACGTAAATATCACCAGTTCTTTTTGTTTTAGTGTGAATATAAAATGTCACATGGTTCGAGATGATTGTTCATCGTAATATAGAAGGAAAGAGAAATTTATCAGAGAAGAAAACAAAAGAACTACGTAGTCATGAAGTGTTTCATCGTCACAAACATAATTAATGTAGCTATTATGAAGTGAAAAAAAGTCTACGTTAAATGGAAATTAAATTCAGAATGTCAAACAAACAATGAAAGCTTGTTTTATCTTTCCCGATCGCATTTCTTTTTCACGAACTGATTATAGGTTCGTTTTCAGTCTCTGATTTATATCATCATGGTGATTCAATTACATATTTTGTTCACTTTTGTGATAGTATTTTGTTTTGGAAACATGAGTATGCATGGTTATTATGTTGTCTAGCTAAGTCTTCGTTGAGTTAAATTGAGGGATACAGTAACTGCTTATTTTTCGCATCACACATAATTCATCAGCAAGGCATAATGCTACAAGTTCGTGCTGAGTCTTCGAGTGATTCTTTATCAATTTTCATCGGGTAAAAATTCTATGCTTTTGCCATACTTGATGAAATACGATTGAGTAATATTAGCGTGCATCCAATCAGCTAAAAGTCCCTGTTGCATTGCAGGATCGAATGAGCCAAAGATGCTATCTCATGGAAATGCACAATGCTTTTCTTGAGCTGTCTAAACCACATATAAAAAGTCTAGTTTAAATGCATCTGCAACTTCGTTTCTTCCGTAGTGTATAATATAGCTTATATTAAGTTGAATTCTATTTTTTTCGATTTGAATATCAATCGACTCCATAAATATCTGAAACTGAAACTGATTCAAATTGAAATATGTGCATGTGTCATCACAATAGATAAGAGAGAAGAACATATATGGAGAAAAAGGCGAAGACTAGAAAACATGGGGTAGAGAGAAAAATGACGATGCATTAGTGATTATCTAATGAATGTTTTCAATACGGATGTTTTATTGTCGACTGCTTTCCATCCTTGGAAAAAGAAGATTGTAAACGTAACAAATGAAAGATCATCGTTCTCAAAAGTGTTTTCCGATGGCGAAATAGTTTGATTACTTTTTCTGTTGAAAAATAAATGGTGTTTTGTACATCGAGTGTCGGATACCAAAACTATATTGAGGTGCTTGCTGTTTATTTCTAAAATTAATAGATCCATAAGCGCCCGGACCCGGTGTTGACCAAGATTTGGGAGAATCGAATCGTAAACCAATTGTGTAAGCAGGCGATGATCGAAACATCGCCTTCATCGTACCACCTATGTTGTATGCAGCTGGTCCTATGCAAGATGAAATGTTCTTTGTCTAAAGATGAATGATGATATGTAAGTCTCCTACCAGGAGTAATATCGGGTGTCAGATCATCATTGCCTGTTGAAGAAATTACATCGGTTGACAAGTATCGTTGGCTAAGCGATGATTCGTCATAAGATTTCTCATGTTTGAATTTAGAGGAATCAGCTGGCAGTGTTCTGTGAACAGAACGTGGTCTATCAAAGTTACTTTCATCAACATCGGATAGTAAATGAACAGGATCTGTCGTTGAATGTTTTTTTGGATTAGGTTCATGTGATTTCGTCGTGTTGAATGCCATATTTAGGGCCTATTGATGTAAATAGAAAGAAAAACATAAACCTCTTGTAATAACATTCTCTATTCAAAGTAATATGAAACCAGCAGTTTCTAACCGTTTGCAAATGAAAATACTACTCATACTCGCACATGTCATCCGTACACGCCTCTATGCTTCTTTTTTCTTTATTCGCTCAGTTTTATTTACGGTAAAAACAAGGCTTTTTGATAATAACAATAGAACAGCGAAAAAAACAGCCGAACACACTTGATTCCTTACTGCATTGATTGTTGAAAAAATGAAAAATAAAGTCAACTCTTCAACAAAAAGTGTCCCGCATCTTCGTAAGTATTGCTCTATTGCTTTCGTTCCATTTCCATTTTATACAAGAGAATCAATGAATTTTTTGTACGACTTGAGTTGACTGATTGAAGCTCCACTGATACAAAGCTTGTTTCGACGAAAGAGAAGCTATGGATTTGAGTGTCGATCTTGACATTAGTGTCGCCTTTCGTTCTAGTGCTATAACATAGGCATCTAGTTCTAAGAGCATTCCTTGTACTGATCTTATATTTATATCTATCGTTAGAAGCAATAAAAAAACATTGTAGTAATGCGATAAAATATTACTTCTTTCTGACGAATGAATGGCCTGTGGTGGACTGTCTTCACAATTTCTAGTTTTTTTCTCGAGCAATGAAGTAATGTTTTACATGTATATCTTCTCATTGATTTTACGACTTAAGCACAAATTCTAATCGAATTTCATTATCTCAAAAGTTTCAATTTTGATAGTTGTGAGTTTGTTTGCAATGCCACTCTATTTGGATTTCAGAGTGGACTTCAAGTTGATAGATGATGATATTTATTCAACATTCAATGAACGATAACAATGAAATGTCGCTCTGATAAATTGCTCTATATGCGCATTTGTCTCAACTGACCTGGTATTACTGATAGCTGTTTATTGTTCTTGATTTCATTATTAATCAATATGATCAGATTAAGTCTTAGACGATACAAGTTCAAAGCTTTGAGAAAGAATTGTAAAGCATAATCGAATATGTCGTATTTATTATAGACAACACTCATGAAAGCAAGACAGTTAGCTTCTCTCTTGATTTTGCAACATATTTTGGTGTTTCATACTTTGATCTTGACCAGATGCAGTTGAAAGCTTTACTTTCTTAGAAAATGATCTGCAAAAACGCGTCCAACCTCACTTATTTTCTCATTCGTCTTGTCATTCTTTTTTTTTAATTCTTGCTGCGTTATTAGAAATGAGAAGAAAGAAAAAGTAGTATAATAATATGTTTGTCCAAAAAGCAAAAGCAAACATTGTTACTTTTTCGCAAAATGAATATGTGTTATTGTTCGTTTACTGTTCTCTATGTAATTTCTTTTTACAACATATGCCAGAGAGAACAAAAAAAACATACAAGAGTTTGGAGTAGGATGGAGAAATCATAAAGTTGAAAATAATAAAATGTCTGCCTCAAAATAAATAAACTCAGCAAGCGAGTTTTCACAGGGATATTCGACACAAATGTTTCGTTCAACGGACGATGTGTTCATTGACATCAATTGGCTTCGTGGTAGATGATAAATAAAAAGCTATATTCAAAAGTGAAAATATGCATTCATTGAGACTAAACATAGCCAATTAAATTTTTATCTGTATCTTATTTTTATCGCTCATATATTTCATCTGTTCAAAATTTTCTAAGAAGACTTGAGTGTGGATATGAATATTATTTCTGCCTTTAGTTCAAGCGCATCAACGCTCACATCGACTTCCGAAAACATTTGTTTGAAAGCTGGTGCCACTTTAATGCCTTCATGTTGTGATCAGAATAGGCCTTGAGACACAGTTAAAAATCACTGCTTCTAACGTATACAGTTCTGAAAAGCTCCATTCAATTTCCAAAACTCTTACAGACTTACTGTCTTGTTTTCTATTTTGCAAGTTTTACCAAACTAATAATACGGTAGAAGAAACATTATAAGAGAGAACTTTTTCATCAACGATGCAACGAAAGAAAAATTTCTAAGTAGATTGAATCATAGAGATTTAAAAAATTGTATTCGTATAGATGTTTAACCCGAAGCTTGAAAACAGCGAAATCACCAAATCATGGATTGAAAATATCGACAAATGAGGATGTCAAGACATTTTCAGTGTTTCTCTACATACAGCTTTTATCATAAGGAGACGAAATTTAAAAAAATTACCAACTTCACCTTTTTCATTCGCCAAAAATTACTATTCCAGATAAAAAAAGAACGGTTCAGATCGGTTCGGTATTCGGATATTCAGGAATGAGCTTGGATATTTTTTCATAGACTTTTGTATGACTTATTATATTTGAACATAGTTATTAATCACAGAAAGGTGTTACATAGAAATATCTTGATTTATAGGGAAAAAAATTAAACAATTTTCGGGAACATTCATTTTTAGTATTGTTCTTGCTGCTGATTGCCATGGAACACGACAGGATAAAAAACAGAAAGAAAACATTTGTTAGGACACTACTGGAATCTCTGTCTATCTCGTGTTATAAAGCTGTGATACTGCATTGATTTGAGTGGCATTGACAGAGGCTGGCTCTATTGCCAGTGGTATCGATAAGAATATCTGTTGTAAGCAGACGATGGTGATCTCCGATCTTCGATATTAGATTTATTTTGTAATCCTATAGTACCACCATAGCCAGATGATATGGAGCTGCTATAATAAATTCCGGTTGAACCGCTGTAGCCATGTCCTCTTGTACGATCATAAGTATATGGCATCATAGAAGCATACCCAGATTGCGGCACATTACCGTATTTAGTTGGCGTCACATCATTGTAGCTAGAACCCCATCCGTAGCTCATGGTAGATCCTGCCTCATCACTATGGTCATACAATGTCGGTGTTGTTCTCAATCTCGAACGCGCATTTGGTTGTGATGTCAAACGTGCTTCGTGGACCGTATATGAAGGCTCTTCTGCGGAACGTATTGGTTCTTTTACTCCCAAATAGCTAGAAGGAAACGCTTTGAGTGTAGCAGTGGGTGCCTCTATATATGTTGATCTGGTATCTGATACCGAACCAAATGCAGTTGTAATTTTTGAAGGATTTTGCGATTTAGCTTGAGAGTTAGACCCTAGACCACTGAAAATAGAAGATTTCGGTTGCCACAACTCTCCTTCATAAACGATCCACTTGCTTAAGCAGCTAATAAACTTGTGTGCATAGACGCGTTGAACCCATTTTTGGGGCAGCCTGTCATAACCATAGTAAGCGCCAGCTAATTGACCATAAATAGCCGCAGTTGTGTCAGTGTCATCTCCAAGATTAACTGCGTCAAGAACGCCCTTTTCAAACGAATTTTCATCGTAGTTAAAGGCCCATAAGGCAGCTTCAAGAGCACTAACGATGTACCCTTTACCTCGAATACCATCACGATATCCGCCAGGTTTCTTGAACGATCCTTGGGCAACATTCATAACCTCTTGATTGAGCGGCTTGTTATTAAACCATGCTTTGTGGTTAAAATAAAAGTTGGGATCCAGTAATTGTTCTTTTTTTTCACCTTGGAGAGCAGCCACGATCAAAGCACCATAATAACGACAAGCATCATAGGCTTTTTGATCACCATGAGTAATTTTACCACTAATTCCAGAAAATTCGACGGCGTCAGTAGGATGTAGGTAGAAAAACAGAGGGACGGGAGCTAGTCGCATAAGTGCTCCGTTACCAGCTGCACCACTTTCACTACAATTCACGTCAAATTTTGAAAGCACATCCGAGTCTAAAAGATAATCTAATTGTTCAGAAGGAATTCCATGTTTGGTAGCAAACGATTGTTGACGACTCTCAAATTCACGCAGAGATTGACTGGTAGCAGAACCAATATCGAAACATTGTCCAGTCGATGACATGTAACCGTGTCTGAACCACCACTTGTATCGAACTAGCTGATCATAGGGAACGAAATCGCGACGAGCTATCAATGAATTAGCCAAGCAAAGACCCATGGACGTGTCGTCTGTGAACTAAACAAACGAAAGTTCTTGGAAATGGTACAATCAACAATCTCTGATATATGTTTAAGGCGCATATTTTATTCATTTTTTCACAGTTGCGCCCAATATCTCTACAGCTCAGAAGTTTTCTCTCACAAATGAGCTGAAAAATCTATTTTAATAAAAAACATTTGGCAACAGGAACTGATAGTACTTAAAGGTCGTATAAACTGAAATGTGGACGTCTTACCTTCTCCCACATGTACAGTCACACCCACACTCATCCTCAAAATGGAGAGGAAAGAAAATTGCTCTGACCACAACATTTTTCTTTCCACACAGTTCGAATTTTTGTTTCCAAAATCAGTAGAGCTTAGCAACAAAGGAGTTAGGAATTCTATATAAAGAGGAAAAACCTTACTTGTCCTTTTTTGAGACCCCAAGTCCCTCCCTCTTGCAGATCTTGCACAGGATGTTCCACCAAGTATTGATGCGGCCGAAACTCAACGTGAGCTCCAAGTGCATCTCCCAAAGCCATACCAAACATCGATCCCTTCACACGATTTAATATGGCATGATCGACACTTCTCGGAGGATCTTGTAGCTTAGTCTCAAGATCTTCAGGAGTCATGATCGATCGTTTGCTACTATCATGATAGTGGCAATCGAGCCAAGATTTGTCTGAACGAAAATATGCATTCTTTTTTTCGACAAGGTCACTCCTTGATATAGCAGACGTTTCTTCAATGTGAGCATTATCGACTGTATTTTTGTGAATAGAAGATATGTCCGGCTGATGTATTTCAGGTTTCCCTGTCGACTGGTTTGATGACGGTTTATGAGAGCCTAAACCAAAACCAGAAGACATTAATAGCATAAGAGGCAAATATTCTTCCTATAGGTATAGTTGTGGGCGTTTTACCTTCGCCCACACCTACAGTCACATTCAGATCCTTTACTATTCTTCAAGAACTAAGGAGCACTTATATCTAAAAAACAGCTATCAC